AGGCATCGCCCGTAGCATTTGCTATCCGTAGCTTTAGCAGCAGAGAGAGAGGCAGTGCCAACTCAGCGACTTTGTCGCTGTTCCTAACGCCTAGTGATGAACCTAGCTACATTTCTGAGGACCCTTAGCTACTTTCTGTAGAACTTTCTTCTAGATATTTCCTGCAAATTAGCAACAAAATAGCCATTTTCACTTCGAACCGTTCTTTGGTTTGACGTTGTTTCAGCTGTCATCAAGGATATAAAAGTTACAGATACTGAAAATGCTACTAGAGTGTAGCTCACCTTGTAAAATGTCTGACTCCCATGCAGAAGACCTGGGTTTGATTCTGGGTGTGAACATAATTCATTTACAGTTTCTTTTTTACATTAATGGTATATTTTTTTACAGTAAGATGCTCAATTTTTTATTAGAGACTCGCCGAACGGCATTGAATTCACAGATAAAAAAGATGTGGGTTCAACTTTCATTTTGGAACAATTTTTCAAGCAAGGGAAGGGAATGATCTGAGAATGCAGGAGGACTGACCCATCTTAAACCTTTGTCGGCTGTGCTGAAGAGAAAGGTACAGAACCAAATTATTTAACTAATTAGCTGCGCGTTCTCCTGTCCTCTGGGCCACACACACACACACACACACACACACACACACACACACACACACACACACACACACACACACACACACAGAGGACTGTCTCAGCTGTTGTTTTCGTTAAGGAGTGTGCACGTACAGCATGTGCGCCTCGTGCACGAGCCTACTATTGAAGCTGCCGTTACGCTTTTAGCCTGAGGGGGCAATCACGAGCATAAAAATTCAAAAGACCGTAAAGTCCCTTTAAGATTAATCTATGAAACAGCTGAGAACTCTGGGTAATTTGTTTTCTACCAGCAATATCTAAGATGGTTGATCAAATTAGGCCAGTGTGTTTTTGTAAAGGGACGATTACTTTTGTAGGCTGAGGTTGTGTGACATATTTATGAGTCATCAGCGCAGAGGAGGGAAATCAAAGATAATTTTATTTGCAGAATAACAAAAGATTTGTGATGAGTAAACTAACAAATGCTCATGAGCACATTTTCATTCAATCAATCTTCATTTATATAGCGCCTTCACACGGCCCGAGGGCCAAACAAAGCGCTTCGCAACAAAAAGTGACCCAAAATGACTTAAGAGTAAAAACATTTTAAAGCAGTTAAAAGAAGTTTGTAGTTCAAATCGGACGGAGTCGGGCCCCACAAGAATGCAAAAACCATCTCATTAGCAAGACTCCTCGTCTGTAAAAGCCATTGAATAAAAGTGTGTTTTCACCACTAAAATCACATTTTATTTTCAGACAAATAATTATGTTTAGGACCTTCGGTGCAACCTTTCTGTGACCCTGAGACAGGATTTTACAACATTAACAACACAACTGCCCCGAGTCTTACTTGTGTTTTAAAATGATTGAAATTTGTATTTTATTGCTTTTTTCCAATCTTGCAAAACATTAGAAACTTGATGAATGTGAGAAATGCAGAAAGCAGACTAACAACAGTTATATAAATGCGGCATTAGAAACATGTACCTGTATTACCGTAAATCCTCTAATACAGGCCCGGGCCTGTATTTGACTCAAGCTCATCAAGCTCCAGGCCTTTATTGGAAGGAGGGCCAGTATTAGAGGCAGGCCTCTATTTCTATTTGAGCAAAATGAAGTAATGGTTCGCTGGAGTTTTTGACAATTAAAATTGCACCCACATTTTCAAAGTTAAACACATTTCTTTTAACAACGGTAGTTCCTGCTTCAGCCCTCCCCCCCTCCCCCTGCGCAGCGGCCGCAAACTCACTGATGCGCCTGCAGGCTCTCAGAGTTCCTCCTGCTCTAAACATTAAAATAATTATTTCATTTTCTGTTCCTCACTTCTGATTACCTTCAATGGTGTCTGTTTGTTGCAACAGCAGGTACAAAAACTAACTTGTTTTTATTTGACTATTTTTCTGTCCGGTCTGTTTATTATCTTCCTGCATCTCCTCTCAATCCTTAAGAAAAACTGCTACCTGGGTTCATATATATTCACCTCATGAGTTACCTTTGAACTGCAGTTCTAAAAGATCTACCGACCGCAAAAACAGCGGAGCGCTCGCTGTTTGGCGGCCGTATCAGTGATCAGTGCGTCGGAGGACAAGGTGATGCGCGCAGCGCCCCGCTCCACAGCATGCAGCGAAACGCATCAGGCGCAAATAAAAGACAGAAAACATTAAAGGAAATGAACTGACATGAACGATCGCGTGTTAAATTAGTTTTTGAGGTGGCGACACCTGATTGTCACTGTGGCCGTGCTCAGGAGGCAGATCTACCGACCGCGAAAACAGCGGAGCGCTCCCTGCTTGCCGGCCGCATCAGTGATCTGTGCGTCGGAGGACAAGTTGATGCGCCCCGCTCCACAGCAGCGATACACATCAGGCGCAAATAAAAGACAGAAAACATTAAAGGAAAGGAACCGACATGAACGATCGCGTGTCAGTACCTACGGTCTGGCACAGCGCGTTGCTGATCACAGAGAATGTGATCATACGATAATTCAATAAGGAGCGTGGTTTCACAGACGCGGAAGTGATCTAGGCTGCTCTAGGAAACCCCCGAGCGTTCGAGCGTCAACGAAGTGACACGGAAATGCCGGGCTTTCCAGAAGTAAGTAAGATAACTTACTATGAGCTGATAGTTCGTTGGATTGATCGGTAGGTTGGAAACTCTGATCATGAATCTGAAGAAACGATGACTGAGTGGTGAGCTGGAAAGGCGACTTCCGTTTATAGCCGTGGTTTGTGACGTAGGTGCGACGTGGAGGGAATCCCCGCGAGGGGCATGCTGGGAGTCCCTACTTCGCGGATTTTCACCTATCGCAGCCAGGTCTGGAACGCATCTACCGCGATAAACGAGGGATTACTGTAGTTCATACACCCCCTACTGCTGCTCTCCAGAGTGTTCTGCAGCATAATCAGCACGTTCTCTTTGAACTTGATAGTGTAATGACCTGGCTGGGGTTGTAGGCCAGGTGCATTCTGGGTATTGTGTTATATGTGTTTCCTATCGTTCTGCTAGTTCCTATGTGCTGATTTGCGTGTTGTGTGAGTGTTATGTAAGCCACAGGGAAGGTGATGTGTGTTCTGTGGAGGGGTTGAATTAGCATGGTTAACTGACACCGTGACTCTGTGTGGTAGGAGCGTGATAGAGGATTGTGTCTGTAGCGTTACAAAGCATTGAAGAAAAAGCCTAAAAAAGGTCTGCGTGAACCTCTACTGCCTCCTGCTGGTTGATTTGGGGACTATAACCCTGCCGCTGGGATGCTCGTACTTGCTTGTTACCACATTCCATCCGGCCACAATAAGAGACCGGCCATTATTTACCTCCACTGACTCCGACACCGGCCAAAATTGGAGACCCGGCCTTTAATTGAATACCGGCCTGTATTAGAGGATTTACGGTATATTGTGACATGTTTGGCCAATCGCACTTTTCTGTGCAGGTGAAACTGGGAAAATTTAATATGGCTCAAAAGTCCATTTATTTCAGTAATCCAACTTAGACTGAGAGACCATCTAAAGCACATGTGTCAGACACAAGGCCCGTGAGCCAGATTTGGCCCGCGAGAGATTCAAGTGTCTTAAAATAAGCCTATGCCGCTTCAAAGCGCACATTGACTATAAACGACATGTCCTATAATGTATGGCGATTGTGTTCCCAGTGCAGTGACTACTAATATTATTAAAGGTAATAATGCATAGAGGCATTGAGGTGCTATTTTTACAAAAGTAAATAATAATAATAATAAAAAAAAAATATATATATATATAGAAATTAAATAAGCGCAAGGTAATCGATAAATGTGTAAAAAGATGAGTGAGACCATAAAATGCAGAACAGCACTGAAGATACAAATCAATCACGTTGTTTCGGTTTTTAGAGCAAACTCAAACTTCCGTTTGAAATCCACACATGAGCCTTGACACACCGTTAATGTTTCTCATCATGAGTCTGAAGCTTTTCCAAATCTAAAGAAGGAAATTCTTCTTCTTCCAACACCATTTCCTTTATATGTGAAAGTTTTTAGAGTTCAGAAAGTCATGCAATCACTCATTTCCTTTCAACGGCCTTCCATTTTAAACAAAGCTTCAAAGCTTTTAAAACACGTCAAACATGCAGATTAAAGTTACTGAGAGCTTTTTTTCCCTCTGAGCATCTTTACAAACGAGGATTCAGACATTTCATCCACCTGTCTCACCAGTTAATTAAACAACTTCTCAGACACGTTCTCGGCTTGCGAACCCAATAAACATCCATCAATACAACCGTTCCATTTCGATAAGTGCTTGAGTCTGATTACAGGCCTTGTCATCATTGTAGTTGGCTAACTGAGAGGTAAACTGATCATTGTCTCAAAAGCATCATCAACTGGCTAAATGCTTTCTATCAGAGGGTATGTAAGCTCGCACAAGAGCAACAGAATTATTTTAATATGCATTAAAATTGTAATTCGGAGCATTTATTTGTTCCAAGAATTGGAGCGGCTTAGTAAGAAAGAGATTGGTATATTTTTCAGAGATTTATTCTAATTCTGCTTTTTGTTCTGCTTTGCGGGGAGGATGTTAAAGAGGCAGGCGTGCAGTTCTCTCTGTTCTGCCTCTGGTGGCCTTGATTGAACCGTGGATGGAGTGTGTGCCCTGCATCTGATACAGCCAACAACAAAAAGCAACTAAAAGCAATTTTCTGAGGCGGTCTGCAAGAAATGGATGGTTGGCAGAGCCACGGTGTTGCAGCACAACACTGAGAACGCACAACCTTGGGAGTTACTGAGGAAAGTGTTTGTGTGCATCCGACTAAACATCCAACAACAATCTGATGCTGCGTTCATGCATTTGAACTTTTACTTCCCACACATGCAGACACGCTCACGCAGCAGCTGCGGGAAATTGCACGTGTGCATCTGCATTTGAGTGTGTCTGCACAGCTACTTACTGCAGATGGCTTCAGCCTCATCAGAGCCATCAGCACACTCCGCTTCTCCATCACAGCGCCACCTGGAGGGAAGGCACTGTCCATTCTTACACGCAAACTCTGTTGTTGAACAGGTCTTCTTTGCTGTGAAAGAAAAAAGAATCATTTAGTAAAAACACAGTTGAGTGTCACAACAAAAACTTCAATATTTTAGTTCAATGCACCGAATAATTGGTCACATTTGATGATTGTGGGCATGAGTTCTTTGCAAACTGGCAACTGATGTGCGATTAGCAATGAAACAGAGCATTTAAAGAGATGTCATGTAGTGGGTAGCATGTAAATAAATAAGTTGTATGGCAATGTGCAAAACAAATGCATAATCCTAGAAATCAGTCATCAAAATCCCAGTTTCTGAACCATTTTTTTCCCACTTTGCAACCTTTTTTTGTAATTAGGTCCTATAATCTATATCTATGTAATCTACAAGCCTCTACTATGATTCACACTAGAGTTCAATTCACTTCCTAATGACCTGAGGACCTCTGTGGTGTCGCTTTCACCACGCCAGGGGAAAATTGAAGCCCTTGGGTCGACTATGTAGGAGTTCAAAAAAGTCTTTCTGCTTGACAGAGAGCCACTGAACAACAGAAAGCACTCGCTTAGTGTGTTAGTAATGCCTCGCGATGATGAAATATAGAGAGGCAGGCTGACAAATGGCAACAAGGTGTGTGTGTGTGTGTGTGTGTGTGTGTGTGTGTGTGTGTGTGTGTGTGTGTGTGTGCATAAGTGTGTGTGTTGGTGTTTATGATTTCTTTTTTCCTGACAAGCAAAGCAAGGGACTCTCGTTTTATTTTCTCCTATGAGAGTCCGGTACCTCATTCCTGCAAACTCAGAAGTAAAGATAGTGTGAAAAAAACAACAACTAATAAATATATTCATGCTTTTTATTATTGTTTGATGTGATGGTACAGACGCGGAACGGCAGGAGCTAAAGTTTAGGGAAATATCAAAATGAAGCAGAAGAGCACTTCCCAGCACATACAATGCAGTTTTTATTCTTTAATCTCTAGATGTTCACACTAATTTGCACCCTCGTGCACGTGACTCACACATCCGTGACCAAACAACCAAAGTCAACCACTCAGAAGGAAGAGAAGTTGATGAATTCTATGTGATTTTGCTTCAATTGCCAGAGAACTCAGCTTTGACTTTACACATGAGAAATCTCCTAAGATAGCAAACATTCAAAATACATAAACGTTAAACAAATAAGTCATTAAAGCAGCTTTATTTGTCACATGACTAAAACATCCCCATGTAGACCAGTACAGCCAAGACTAAAGGGGTTGGTGATGGTGAGCCCACCCAGTGGATTCACTAGTTTTATAGGCTTCTGAACTATAAGTGCTGTTGCCCCACCACTTCAGACGCCTGGCATGCTGGACGACCAGTGGAGGCAGAACCTGGTTTATAGTTTTAGACTGAAAAAAAGAGACATGATTCAGCTGAAGGTTTAACAGCTCTGGTTCCTTGGTAAACTGGTAACTAACCAAATAAATGTCTACATTATTTAATTTAAGTGATTTGAATCCTTCTCTATAGTTTCTTTGAGGAAGTCATAATTTTACTCAATCCACCTTGAAGGGAGACTGGGCAGTTTGGGCTTGCTTTTAGCACCCCCTAGTGTCCGCTTGTAGAACAGAAACCAATCTCCTCACTGTGCGCTCATCTTTAACCCTCCCACTGTCCTAATGGGTGTGGCCCCGCGAGGAAAGTTGACCATTGAGCAGGGTTGATGTTTTATCCCTTGGATCCATGTGGCAGGGGTGAAGAGTAAGCACCACCTCACCCCTGCCACATGGACCTCAAGGGATAAACCATCAATCATGCTCAATGGTCAACTTTCCTCGCGGGGTCACCCATAAAGACAGTGGGATGGTTATAACACCTTAATCTAAATGCTGAAATATCTACCAGCTTTCCTTAGTGTATACAAAAGCAATTCATCACTAAATTAAAGGGACTTTACAGACTTTTGAAATTTTCTGCTCGCGATTGCCCCCTCAGGCCAAAAGCGTAACTGCAGCTTCAATTGTAGACTCGAGCACGAGGCACGCATGCTGTACGTGCACACTCCTTAACAGCTGAGACAGTCCCGTGTGTGTGTGTGTGTGTGTGGCCCGGAGGACAGAGGACAGGAGAACGCACAGCTAATTAATTAAATAATTTGGTTCTGTACCTTTCTCTTCAGCACAGCCGACAAAGGTTTATGATGGGTCAGTCCTCCTGCATGCTCAGATCATTCCCTTCCCTTGCTTGAAAAATTGTTCCAAAATGAAAGTTGAACCCTCATCTTTTTTATCTGTGAATTCAATGCCGTTCGGCGAGTCTCAAATAAAAATTTGGGCATCTTACTGTGAAAAAATATATCATTAATGTAAAAAAGAAACTCTAAATGAACTATGTTCACATCCAGAATTAAACCCAGACGTTCTGCACGAGAGTCCGACGTCTTACTAGGTGAGCTAAAGCACCAGTGACGTCTTGCGTATCTGTAACGTTTATATCCTTGATTACAGCTGAAACAACGTTCAAAGAACGGTTCGAAGCAAAAATGGCTATTTTGTTGCTAATTTGCAGGAAATATCTAGAAGAAAGTAGCTAAGGGTCCTCAGAAATGTAGCTAGGTTCATCACTAGGCGTTAGGAACAGCGACAAAGTTGCTGACCTGGCACTACCTCTCTCTCTGCAGCTAAAGCTACTGATAGCAAATGCTACGGGCGATGCCTGAGCGTGAACGCGCATGAAGCAGTCTACTCAACCCGAGCATCTCTCTTTTTCTGTGACTTTACAGAAAAACAGGCAATCACAGTAAAAATGCCAGGGCTCATTCTACAGGACCAGGGCATTGCTGGAGAATGTATGAAGAAGATATTTATTATTTCTATACATGTTTTGGCTGTCAAACTTCCATAACGCCCCTTTAAACAAATCAGCTGTGTTCATGATCTAAAACATGCAGGAAACTTGCTCGAAGCAGACCTCAAGGTCAAGTATGTAAACTCAATTTTTTTTAAGTCCCAACAGACCAGACCGGGCACTGTGAAGCTGCAAGTGGCCACAGGGGGTGACGGGGGCTGGGTGACCTTTCATTAACCCTGTAAAAGGTCATTTTAGCACATACTGGCTAAAGACCATGATTTAACCTTTTGTATGGATGGAACATGCTGGTTTAATTTGTTCAAAAGTGAGGCTACAGTTATATGGGGACAGTGAAATGTTTTCTTACATGTGGTTTGGGTAAAATTCTAACCAAACGTGTTGTTTCAACAACAAAACAACACTGCGGTAATGCAGCATTTCCTCAAACTAATGAATGACACCAAGAGCCCAGCAACCCTTCAGTTCCCTCTTCTGTTGGGACAGAGGAAGCTCATTAGCTTTAGTTTGTGTGTGTGCAGCTTGTGATGTCCCATGGTGTTGTATGACTGACAGCACAACTGGGAGCCATTATAATGAAGTACAAGCTATAAAACCTGACTCCATCTCAGCTATAGGGGCCAATATTCTACATGTATATAAAAATTTACAGTCTACGATCAGTAATAAATAACAGGAATGCACACCCAGACACACACTATTGATTGTGCGTAGACAAAAAATAAAAATAAAACAAGGGTGTGGGGTTTAAAGACATTAGATGGATAGAATTGAAGAAGGCGTAGCCCTAAATAAAACAGAAGTATGTCTCTGGGGATTCACGGTGTAGTCAGAGCCACAGAGAAAGGTAAATAGAAGGAGCGGAAGGAGAGAATATGGGTACGGAAACTAGAGACAGAAAGAAAAAGGCTGTCGAGGTGGGGACCTGCATAACGGCATCAGTCTCCACAAAGGATGACATAAAGCTGCTGCATTCCTAGCAGCATGTTAGCACAAATCCCATCTTTTCCAGACAGTCCTCCGTGTTTTTCATCCTTCTCTGAATCTCTGCTCACAGCCTGATAACGGAGGCTGGTGCAGCACACAGAGCAGATCCACAAAGCAGTGAAAGCTCTCATTGTTCAACTAGGACTTATGCCAAATTTCCATAAATAAGGATTTTCTCTCACCTTCATATCGGGGTGGGTCATAAAAAACTGCTTCTTCAATTCAGATGAAGGTGACGAACGTACTTATGAAATACAGTATTATACTCATTACAATGTAGAAGCCAGAAAGTGGAGGAATATTAATTTCCACCAACCCCTCCTCTTATCATGAGGACAAAACGCAACATGATGTAATTCACCTTGGGCCCATCTTAATCTGAGAGGGGGAAAAAACACTAAGAAGACCTTTACGAACAAATAAAATGTGCATTTAATTAACCTTTGAATAGATAACATAAAAAGAAAGGTAATTAAAATATGGCATTGGATAACATTTTTAAAAATAACATAAATGAGGAAAAAAAGGATTTAAATCGCACCAAGTCAGATGGTTTTGGAAAAAAAAATGCTTTCCAAAAACGAAGATTAAAACTCTGGTTTGGATGCAGATTCACACTAAGAACTGGTGAAATACATTTAATCGAACAAGTTTAGAAATAAATAAAAATATTAAACCCATTTCTCAAGCTGTAAAACGTCTGCACTCGCGCCGCCACTAAATGATAACTGACCCGCACTTGTATAGCGCCTCTCAGAGTAAGGACTCCAAAGCGCTTTACACTACACTGTATCATTCATCCATTCACACACACATTCACACAATGGCGATGAGCTACGATGTAGCCACAGCTGCCCTGGGGCGCACTGACAGAGGCGATAAATTCTGATGCATCCATACGGAACAGCTGGAATCTGGCCAACGAGGTGAGCGAGTGAATATGGAAAGGAGAAGTTTAAAGACATCACACAAACACGCAAACCCGACCACCGTGGAGACGCAGTATTTTACTTGGGTTCCTTGTCTGCTGATGGAAAAGCTGATGAATATTTATGTGAGGAAGCAGACACACCAGAGTAGCTTTGGAGGGATTTTATCGACATTATTGAGCCATCTGTATCGTTTCTTCTCCCCACTTTTAAATCGCTCCATCAAAGCCTCAGTTCTTTTCCATCATTCCACAATCAATCTGAGCCTTGGACTTGTGTTATGCA